ACAGGCACAACGAGGGCTCAAATGATCCCTGTAATTGGCCTCCTGACGGGCGCGCCACTTTTGCAGGATGTTAACGGTGGTTATCCTTTTGAAAGTATGGCTCCTGCCATGGTAATCTGGAATTTCCACCGCAGGCTCAAGACGAGTGCCGTCCCCTGCGTCCACTTGAGACGGGAGACGCGTTGACATTCTGAATTGAGCTACACACACACATGCAGTATATAACAACGTGTAAAAGATTCTCTCCGAGGTTCTGTGCCCAAGGGGAGGTCCATGGCTCAAGCGCCTCCATCCCATGCGATCCGTGCTCCCCCCCACCCCTCCTAATCTGCCACTCCCCCCCGCCTCCCAATTACCATGGTACCATGGGTCCATAACTCAGGGCCCTCGAGCCAAAACTATGGTAGAATATTCAGGTGGATTTCACTTTTGCCTTCCTCAGTAGTCATGACACCATCACTGGAAGCAGTTCAATTTTATAGCCGGGACAATGCACCTCCTACGCACACCATTCAATGAGCTTTCAAATTACGTGGTTACGAATACATTATTTTAAAAATATGAAATCGTTTAATTTGTGCCTTTGGTGGTCCATGAGTAATATACAGTGGCAGCACAGTTTTCTAGAATGAACTGGACACAATATATAGTGGCTGCACAGTTTTCTAGAATCTAGAATCAACTGGACACAATGTACTGCACTGTTGACAATCGTCATGAGACCACTCACTCGGATTTCTCTCTGTTCGCTTCCACTTAAAACTAAACTATTTTTTATTTTACTAGCCAAGGCCCACTGAGCTATATAGCTCTTATTCAGAAGCGACCTGGCCACAAATGATAGCTCAACGAAGTGGCTTATCACGTGGAAATTTATAGCAACAGCCAAACACTCTAAATGCATATATTTTTTTAATGTGAAGGGAAAAACAGGAGGAGCCAGAGAAAAATCCATGCGACCACGGGGAGAGAGACATGCACACTCCAAATATACAGCAGGCGTCGGGGTCGGGATCGAATGCACGACCTATTGTAGACCGAGCGAGGTAGAAAACATCTCAGCATCATCAGTCCATCTTTTCCTGGTCACCCTCAGCCTCTGTTACCTTCCACTCACGTTGGCATTGCTCACCCAATACAGAATACTGCACATGAATTGTAAATACTGTAATAGATTCTTGCACATGTAATGAAACGTTTGTATCACAAACTTAACAAAATAGATCTAAATCGGTCAATCAATTAATCATTACGTCCTTCATGTCCATAGGATCCGATATTGTGAGCCCTGTTACTTTCCGAAACCCTGTTGCCTGGCTCCAAGCGGTCCAATGCCTTTACCTGAGACTGCTGCGAACGGCTTGGACTTCTTTCAGTCACAAAGCAAAGCGTTCGCTCATTCGCATGCGCAACACACAAGCGTGTGCAGTGTGCAGGGGCGACGAGGTAGGACACACGCTTGATGGATGTCAGGTGAAGGCCTGTGATATCGCTTCAGGGTCATCCCCCCCCACCCTACGTGACAAGTGGCCTTGCTATCTATAGAAGGATCCAGAAAGGGGGGGGGGGGAAAAGATTTTGCCCTGTGCCGTTAGCACAATCGCTCTACGGGGTCTGCGTGTGAAAATCTGGCTTGGGTGGTGCTGCGGTTTAGAACACTCAGCTCGCATTTAGGAGGTTGCGAGTTCAAATCCCAGACGGTGGTTCGACTGGATCAATAAAATGGGCAGAGCCTTGAGTAAAAGTCAAACAGTGGCCACATGCTACGGAGCTACTGGCTCCCGCCATGAGAACGTGTAAATTTACAAACAGTGGCTCAGGGCGCGCAGCCGCTTTCATTTCGCACCACCCCGCCGTGTTTGCTTGTCGGGGGAGGACCCCTTGACTCGCCCGATGTGCGTGTACGTGAAAAACCGCAGAAATACATTATATTATTAAACACAGGGGGAAACAATGCTAAAAACAGTGCCCATGGGCTCCTCGCCCCGAACCGCGATTACCCAGCACGCGCTCTGGACATTACATCTTTTCGTTTCGATTTAAAGCTTTCGTGACTGCAATGATTCATCTTCTTTGGTTCTTTCGGTAAAGTCACGTAGAATGAGAATAAAATAATAAATTGATAAAATAAAATAACACAATAATATTCTCACGACGTTTCGGCCACAACAAAAGCAGCCTTCATCAGGTGAAGGGACGAGACTGTCTGGTAGGACAGCGCTGCAGAGTACTGAGAATATTATTGTGTTATTTTATTTTATCAATTTATTATTTTATTCTCATTCTACGTGACTTTACCGAAAGAACCAAAGAAGATCTTTTCGTTTGTTGCCAAAAATGGATTTTGGCGCACTGTGACCTGCGCACACAACATTGCAAGGATGTACTACTTTACAATGTTCAGCATCACCGTGTACAGGGTGCCGCACAGAGTGTGCCAAGTCTGTGATCGGAACCAAAGAGGAGCCTTTCCTTAAACTCTCTTGTGCAGCTATATACTTCGCATCGCGCTACAGAACTACCCCGGGAAGCGACACGACAATACATTCTCTCGATTCAGCTGGTTGCCGCGTGACAGTCATCCGAATCGGAATATTCATTTGCGCTGGAGGAATCCGATGAGCTTTAAAGCTCCGTCGAAAAAAACTAAAGAGCTGCCAAGCTCTTCTTCCACATAGCCAAAAAGCCACAGATGTATTCTTAATCAGTAGGTCGCAGAGCCAATACGCTAAGTAGAATGCAAACCGAACTTACACCATCTTTTTCTGCAGTGCAAAAGCCTTCCCACACTTGGCACCCGAGTGAAAGCACGGGTGACCGAGACCTGAATTCGAATCAAACTCAAGTCACCCACAACACGACGACTATTACGAACCCCCTTGCACCACCAAGACACTCCACGACCTCTGCCGAGACTCTGGACTCACAGTGGCCTACTTTTCTGAATGACGCGAAACTGTCTACAATGGCCACCTCCGATTAGCACGGTTGGCTACGTAGGGTGCGAAAGAAGTTCCACGTACAATACGCACGCGAGATATATACGGCACCAGGATTTTCTTCACGTCGGGAGGTCTCGAATCCACTGGCTCAATAGCGGCTTATCACCGTCCTGAACTATTGTATTTGTAGACTGCAAATGCGTACGAGAGGTCACTGTGGTAGCTTTTTTTTATGAGAACGAGATAAAAAATAGTCTCTGCATTCGATAAGAGAATATCCATAATACAGGTTTTTTGGACGAGATCGTGTAAATATATAAATGTGTCGTTAAACCCGCCACCACCCGACACAGCCAACTAGTAAGGTTTGTCATGTGAACAGAACGTGCCAATTCGTTACTAGTACAGCACACCGGTGTGTTGGGAGAGCCAAGCCACACAACATTTACAATTTCAGTACGAGAATATCGTTCAATAAAATAACACAACGTGTGATACAAAACGCCTACGGAATATTAACACGAATAGGAAGGGTCTGTAAAACAGACAGCATTATACGCAGAGCTTCTGCTCATGGTGGATACTGCCCCCATGGTGGGTTCCGGTATCAGTTGCCACCCATGTTTGTACCGACCAACCTCCTTGGCTCAAGGCCTATTTCACCAGCAACGTTAAATGCCAAAGTGCCTCTCCCTCCTCGAACGAACAGTGGGACGCTGATACAATTCTCTTGGCGGCCAAGGCCACATTCCCACGTTGGGGTGCAGGTCTTCCCACCGTACTACCACAACTTGGTAATTATTTTAGAGATCCCAGAGATAGGACGATGATGATGGGTTGAATCAACTGCCAAAGAGGTTTTGAACTCTTATCCTTCCCACCGAGTCAAGCGCTCGAGCACAGTTCCACGCAGCTGTTCATTATGCGAACGCGGCAAGAATGTGTATGCATGTGTAGGCGTGTGTATGTGCGCGTCACCCTGCCGATCGATAATCTGTCAAGCGAGTTACAAGCACCGCCACAATATGAAAAGAACACCAAACAAAATTACGGCGGGTTGGCGGTCAGGCTTTAACATTTCACTCCCACCACTCCGCTCCACGTGCAATAAATGCACCGTGTTGTGCACGTGTATTTGAGGTCGAGAGGACCCATTAAGAAGAGGTGACATGAGATGGCCCAGTGGCTCAGGGAGGGGGATAATGACCATGTCAGAACATGGAATGAACACCACCGAGTTCCAAGGGTTCAAATCAGGGTAGGCGCCTGCGTTTAATTCGGATTTTCAAGTGCGGAGATAATAAATGCACTTCGGGCAACCGCCTCGGGGAAAGCCACTCATTACAGCGTACCGAGGGCATCATCTAGTGTTGTATGGGAAGGCTACCGCTGTGACTGCCGGGATGGGTCTGTGGGGTCAGGTGGGGCCTTTTCCACGTGCGATGCCATCCTCTGCCGACTGTCGTTACAGATAAAAAAAATACGATAATGACTCCATACAGCGCAAGCGGGGTACATTTGGAGAAAACAGCCAAACAAGGTATTTGAGCGAAGTGTGAATATGAAGTGGAGTTGAAAGATATTTTTAAAAACTATAGTACAGTATGGTTTAACACTATTTGGCTACGAATCCCCTGAAGGTGGCCGCATGACTCATTTCGGCTGTTGCCAGGGGACGAAAGCAGAGCCAAGGGACAGATGGACAATTAATTCGCAGCCGTGTGATGTCATTTCAGCGAATGACAGTGGCATGGACGAACAGAACGGACAACGCTGCCAGATCCACGTGATCTCATGTCAGCCAACGAAGGATAGACCCTGAGACCAGAGTCAAATCACTCGTGACCTCATTCAGGCCAATGACAGGGCACGAAGATGCATGGACGGACGATGCGAGACCCAATGCAAGAGACCTTATTCCAGGCAAGCGACACGTATGTCGGCGCCGAGGAACAGACGAACGGGCAGACAGACGGACTATCCACCGTCCGCGCACACGCACACACACACACCACAGCCTTGCCAGGCGCCCCACGCACGCCGCCCAGACGCCCTCACCTGTCCCTTGATGAGGCTGGCCGCGAACTGCCTCACCACGGCCTCCACCGTGTAGGCGCTGGACCAGCCCCTGGGCGTGAGCAGCTCCATGCAGATGGCGCCGCCGTCCAGGACGTATCCGTTCTCGATGCGCGGGCTCAGCACCCGCATGAAGGGCGGCGAGAAGGGGAAGTTCTCGGGGAAGGCGAGGTTGAGGAGGACGCCGTCCACGCCCGTCTCGCGCATGTCCTGCCACAGCGCCGAGTCCCTGTCGATCTGGTAGAGCTTCACGTTCCACTCAAACAGGTTGTCGTCCACCAGCTCCACGCTCAGCACCTCCTCGCTCAGCCGGTTCAGGTCCTGCAGCTCCTTCATGAGGCGGCGGGCGCGTACCTGCGAGCTGTGCTGCCGGTTGGCCGGCGCCGGCGGCAGCGAAGACGACGACGACGGCTTCCCGAAGAGGCCCTTGTGGGGGGGCGGCGGCGGCGGCGGCGGCGCCGGCACGGCCTCCGCTTTGGCCGGCTCGCTCGAGCGGCCGCCAGCCTGGGGGAGCGAGACGGGGCCGCCGTCCCTCCCGCCGCCGTTCAAAGCAACGCAAGCCTTGCCCTTCTGCGACCCGCCGCTATTGTTGTTGTTACCGCCGCCACCGCCGCTGCCGCCGCCGCTGCTGTTGTTGTTATTGTTGCCGCCGCCGCCGCCGGTGATGCTGTTCTTGCGCGCCTTGCGGGAGCCCTTGGGGCTGCCCGTCTCCGGCTGGTGGAAGCGGATGAGGCCGATCTTTCGGAGCAGCGTCGCCATCGCTCGCGCGCGGCTCGGGACTTTGTGGCCAGCAACGTTTGCCCCGGAGCTGCCGGGGAGTAAACGCGAACGCGCTGTTAGTTTTTTTTTCCCACTCCCACCACCCCCCCCGGTAATAAACGCCCGCCGGGGCGATCAATTTCAGGCGCTTGCGTGTGCTCCTGCTGATGCCGCTTGCCACATCTGCGCTTTTATTGCAGCCAACACACGGGCGTATATCTTCTCGCCGAGGCAGTGTTAGATGCTTTCAATTGTAACGATCTGTCCCCCCCCTCCCTTGGCCGCGTGCCCGCCCTGTCCTCAGCTCTGTCCATGTCTCTATGGCTACTTGGCCGTCTCTCGCTGTGGTCTGTCTGACCCTATCTGTCGCTAAGGTTATCTGTCTAGCTGCGTCTAGCTCATTAGGTCCATCTAGCTCTCTCCGTGTTTACGTAGCAAACCTCAAAGCGCAGTTTCTGTTGCTATGGCTGTATTTTAAACTCATTTAATGTTTGTTCATGTCTAGAGCTGTCTATGTGTCCGAGGCTGTCTTGCTATGTCGATTGGTATGGTTGTCCGTCTTATTCCGTTCCAAAGTTTGTATTTATAGCCCTGTTTAGCTGCGTCTACACAGATACTGTATATGTATAGCACGGTCTGGTATCCCTGCCTTTCTAGCTCTGTTTAGTTCTCCGTACGTATTTGTTCAGACCGGTTAATCTGTCCAAACGGCTATCCATCTAGCTTAGTTATGTCCTCTCCAGCTATGTGACTGTTTTATGAACTGAAATTTCTGTTGAAATGGCCGATATCAATCTCTGTGTTCTATGTCTCCATGTCTGTGTGCACCACTGAAGTGCTATCTATATAGTACGATTCCTACGTACGATTCCTACGTACTATATATGTGCAAAAATGCAGTGGTGTAGCATGGTTCGCATGGGGCGTATGGAATGAAATAGGGCCACCGTAATAGAGGTTTTTGGGTTAGATCGCGTAAATATGTGTCGTGAAAACCCGCCACCGCCAACTAGTAAACAGAACATGGCCAATACGTCACGGGTACAGCACACCGGTGTGTTGGAGAGCCCAGCCACAACATTTACAAACTAGAGTACGACGTTTCGCCAGTAATTACAACTAGCTTCATCAGGCGACAGACAGATTTGTGGAGAAGTCTCACTGTTTCGTTCCTTATATAGAGGCGTAGTAGATGTGCTGACCACCCTACTGCGCTCTTTGTAACCCGGCGCCTGGGTACGCCTGGCTTCTAGGCCCAGAGTGCAGTCTCACCGCCTGCACACTCCATTGCTACGCCCACTGCGTGAAGCCTACTGAGAAGTGACCCTCTTTGTGCCTCCCTTCTTAGCTACATTACCATCTTGAATCTCTCCTTGGCTATCCGTGTAGCATAGTCTCTCAGCGACAGCCACCCTCTGTGTGCCTGTACAAGTATGGATGTGCGACTCTGTACGGCTACGTGGTCACGCTGTGAATCACCGTCCCTCAGCGACATCTGCCGCCCGTAAACGTGTGTGTGTGCGGAGTAGTAGCAGTCATCTCGGTCATCTCAGTCAGTCGACCCGTGGCACCTGGGTCTGCCCCGTGACCTCCTGCCGGCGGGCGTTCGACACTTCACGTGGCCTCAAGGTGCACATGGCCTGGCACAAGCGTCGTGGTGATGTCACCGCTACTTGGTGGCGGTTGTTGTTGGAGTGGTAGGGAGCGGTGGTGTCACGGTGAGCGCGCTGCGCTACCAACCAGGCGGCCCAAGTTCGATTGCTGCTCACGGCCAACAGCAGTGACGATTATCTGAAACGATCATGGGCCTCCCCTAGGTCGACTCAACCTCAAATGAGTAGCTGGTGTGGTTAGTAAACATCAAGGCCGTAATTATAATATATATTCAAATATGCTCAAAATGTCCCCCCCAATATATTGGTATAAAAAAATATTGCTATGCTATGTAAATAAAAACAAATATATTGTTCATATGATTGTGGTTATGGTTATACTTTATTAATCCCTAATCTCTGCCATTACATACAATGAAACAAAAATGGTAAAAAAGTAAAAACAGCAATGTAATACAATAACACCATTATACATTATTGTAAAAAAAATCATCCCATGTGTTAGTGAATTTTTAAATATTCTAGGCAGGAAATGAGTTTTCGATTTTAGATAATTTTTTTCCGGGTTCGGACCCCCAGACACCCTGGAAGATTTGGTCCCCCCCAATGTTGACTCCATGGCTACGGCCTTGGGAAACATCACCACTGGGGAGACAAAGGCGGCCGGGTATGGTGTTGGCCACCCACCCCCGCGTATGCAGTGCTGGCTTCATAGGTGCCCGCAAATAGTACTTGTCCCAACACTCTGTTAAAGGTTTACGGTGGATATATCTTTGTGTGGAGTGGTAGCAGTCGCTTAGCGCACAGCGCTGTGAAACCGACCCACCAAGTTTGATTCCCAGCCATGGTTAACATCAGTGGTGAGTGATATCTGAACTGGTCCCGAGCCGCCTGTAGGTCGACTCAGACATACATTTATACCTGGTGTAATGTATAAACTAGAACTATAAACTAAACTTTATTTATTTGGCCAGGTAAGGCCTACTGAGCTATATCGCTATTTTTCAAAAGCGACCTGGCCACAAATGATATCTAAACGCAAGTGGCTTATCACGTGGACATTTATAGCAACCAAATACTCTAAACGCATGTTTCTAAATGGAGGGAAAACCCGGGGGACCAGGTTAAAAAGCCACAACCACAGGGAGAACATGCACATTCAAACTATAAATGCGTCTGTGTGCCGTGGCCAGTCTGAATAGATGCTCGCTAACACCTCATGTCCCTGGAGTCCACAAGACTAGACCGTGAGCCACTCGGCTCGCCTCTATAGCCGGCCCTGGGGGTGCGAAAGCTTTTCGCACAATGGGGCTCTCTATCCACATCTTCCCCCTCTCCCCGTCGTCTCTGGTTTAATTTCCCTCTGTCACTCTTATCTATTGAATTTGGATTTCATGATACAAAGATCTCTCCCACATGATCTGTCTCGCGCTCACCGTCTCGCCCTACCTCCTTCTGTCATCCCTTATTCTCCAAGTGCCTCTCGCCTTGTGGCGTGCGCATCTCCCTATCCGTGCGCGTGTCGCTACTTAGCGGTGCAGCTCTCTACACACACCTCTCTATGGCCACACAGGAGAACTCCTCTCATCAGCAGTGACATGAGGATCTTAATTTCGACTGCAGGAACCAGATGAGCTATGAAGCTCTTGTTCGATAACAGATGTCCACTAGGGGGAGGTATGGGGGACCAATATCGGGAGATATAGGGGACCAGTATAATCCACACAGGGTTATCCGCAATTACACTCCTCTTATCCGTGGGATAGACGACCGTGGGTAACCACGTGGATAACAGGGCGAATTGTCCTTGCAACACTCTTGTCTGTTTAAAAAAAACATCGCGGGATTAATAGTACGTCATTACACAAAGACTTGTGGGAAGTTACAGATAACCATTCGCACGGTTGGCTACGTACGGTGCTAAAGATGTTCAACATACACACACACATTCAATAGGAAAACTTCTTTCGCAACCGTATGTAACCAACGGTTTGAAAGGAGTCTGATGATTGTACAGCTGCTATTTGCCGTGGTTGTCTCACCTGATGACGATTGCTTTCGTGTTGCGATCGAAACGTCGTTATTTATTTTATTTTTCTACCTACGTGACTTTACCGAAATAACCAAAGGGCATGGATTCCTGCAGTCGCGAAAGCTTCAAATCAAGATGTTCCTCCTGTACTGTTACAGTCATATTCGATTGCATGGCTATATCTCAGTCTCTATTTCTCTGACCTTTCTCGATGTCTCAATGTTAATATGATCACCTCTCTATTCCATTGTGCGTGTGAATTTCACATGCGATTCACTTACGTCCATATCTAAGCCCTGGGGGTAACAACCCCCATAAACACACGCTCACACAAACACACAGACACCGCCCCCACGTGTAGCCTTCACAGACTTCTGGGGCAAGTGCTGTTAGCGAGCACCTATGAAGGCCGGCACGGCACACGCGCGGGTGGGGGTGTCCAGCACCACGCCCGACCGCCTTTGTCTCCCCAGTGGCGATGTTCACACACCACACCAGGTACTCATTTGAGGGCAAGTCGAACTCGCATACACACACACTCATACCCATGCAACACCCATCAGTATCAATACAAAAACACATCCATATACCCCCGTATGCTAAACACAAATAAACACCCATATATACACACACACACACACCATGACCCTATAAACACATCACTCAAAAACAACAAAGACGAAACATATATCCCAGTGTAGCCTTAGGGGCCGTCCATAAATGACGTCACGCGATTTTGGACGATTTTTTACCCCCCCCTCTTCGTCACACGGCGTCACAAAAAGTCAGGCCCCCCTCAATATGACGTCACAAAGCTCTGCCCCCCACCCCCCCAACAAAATAAATAAAACATGCTTCAAATGGGTTTAAACTATTGTCATTGTAGTGCGTATTTAATGTGGCGCTGCACTCTGCTGTTGTAGGAGAAAACATTTATATGAAAAAGTCTATTTAATTAAGTAGAACGTGTTGTCTGTATTTATTTAAAGTTGCGCATTTTGATGTGACGTCACATTTCTCAACCCCCCCCCCTCGTCACACATCGTCACAAATGTCTGACCCCCCCCCCCCCCGGTGTGTGACGTCATTTATGGACGGCCCCTTAGCAGACTGTTGGGGCAAGTGCTGTCAGCGAGCACCTATGAAGGGGGGTCAGCACCACGCCTGCACACTAATGCAAATATATACACACCGCAACACCTGTATACATATACACACACACCAATATTCAAAACGTGTAACAAGTATTGTGGTTAATGCAGACATGATTCCTTTTAAAAAGGTTTCAGTTTGGCGTTTTAACATCTTAACGCCTAAATTTTGTATTTAAAGCTTTCGTGACTGCAGGGATTCATATTCTTGGTTCTTTCGGTCAAGTCACCACCACGTAGAAGGGAAACAATACAATAATTAAAAATATATAAAACAATACAATTCTCACGACGTTTCGACTGCACCTGTTTTGTTGCCAGAAAAAAAGGGGAAAACCTATTCTCATGTGTAATAACATCCACACAGCACCAAAATACTAATAACCCCCCCCTCCCCCAATATTATCTGCACAAACCAATACCCCCTCCTCCCATATACAGATAGCCATTGGTCATTCCACTGCCGGATGAAGCCCTCCACGGTGCGGGTGGAGGGGATTACCGTATGGTAAAGGTGGTAAACATTTAACGTTGGACAAACGTCGGTTCAACGTTCCATATTGATTGGGACTTTGGAGCTTGGTACAGTACAATTGATTGTGCCGCACACCGCCCCTCTGCTCACGACAGCAGCCTATAGCACCTGTGTCACTCAATCGGACACCCCACACTACAAACCCACTAAACACAATCCTGGGGTGCACACACCCACTCACACAACACACATTGTGTACCTACACACACAGCACACGCTGTGTGTGTAAGTACACACGCCCATCCACACACATCAATACACAAACACGGATGCTGTAAACAGGACATCATAAAACCACACCGACACACCAATTTGCTCCCACGCACAAACATTACAAAGATACCACCCGTACAGCCTTAACAGACTGTAGGGGCAAGTGCTGTTAGCGAGCACCAATGAAGGCCGGAACGGTACACGAGGGGCATGGGTGGCCAGCACCACGCTCGACCGCCTTTGTCTCCTCAAGTGGGGATGTTTACACACCGCACCAGGTACTCATTTGAGGCCGAGTCGACCTGGGGGGGGGAGGTCCAGGACCGGTTCAGATAATCGTCACTGATGTTGGCCAGGAGCGGGAATCGAACTTGGGTCGCCGGGTTCGTAGCGCAGCGCGCTAACCGCTACGCCACCGCTCCCCACACACGACACACATAAGCACACACCAAATGCAAAGGTACCAACATATAGACTCTCACGCTCCACAAGCTAATGTACACAATCAAGAGATTCCACATCCGTACACAACCGCACGCAGGCACCGATGTGCACACAAAACCCAAGGGCCCAGAATCTTTGTCTAGACTGGAGAAATCCGATGAGCTATGAAGCGCTTTTTTCACAGATGTCCAGTAAGGGGCCCGGGTCAGCAAGTTACAATAACAAACAATACAATACTAAACAAGGATAGGAGGGGGGCAAAATTTAAAAAAGGTAAGTGACCAAAATGAAAAAAATATAAATAAAGGCTTGTATAGAAATACAGATTGCACAAAATTCCGGCCAATTTTGCAACACTAAATGCAAACCGATATATAATGTGCACAACAGTATTATACTTTACACAAAACCAGAGACCAATATCAACACAAGCGCACACACACCATTTTCAAAATATACACCCATATATACACAAAGATCCACGCTCGCATATACACACACAAATACACACACAAGAGAACGTATACTGTGCATACAAAACCAATGCATATATGGGAAAACATAAGAGTACAGAGCAATACTTAGTACACATACCAACAAACACACAAATCGCTTGGACCGGCCTTCATCTAGAAGTGAAATTTCACGATGAAATACCCACCAATACAACTACACACATCCTTACCCATCGACACTAAACAATTGCACACCCAAACACACATCCAAACACACCAACACAATCGCACATCCATTCACACACCGACACACTCGCACACCCATGCACACACCGACACAATATCACACCCACACACACCGACACAATTGCACACCCATACACACACCGACACAATCGCACACCCATTCACACACCGACACAATCGCACACCCATTCACACACCGACACAATCGCACACCCATACACACACCGACACAATTGCACACCCATACACACACCGACACAATAGCACACCAATTCACACACCGACACAATCGCACACCCATTCACACACCGAACACAATCGCACATCCATTCACACACGGAACACAATCGCACACCCATACACACACCGACACAATCGCACACCCACACCATCACACACACCAACACAATCGCACACACACGGACACCATCACACACCCATACACACACCAACCCCATCACACACCAACACCATTACACACCCATACACTCACCGACACAATCGAACACCCATACACACACCAACACAATCGCACACCCATACACACACCGACACAATCGCACACCCACACCATTACACACGCCAACACAATCGCACACACACGGACACCATCACACACCCATACACACACCAACCCCATCACACACCCATACACACACCGACACAATCGAACACCCATACACACACCAACACAATCGCACACCCATACACACACCGACACAATCGCACACCCACACCATCACACACACCAACACAATCGCACACACACGGACACCATCACACACCATCACACACCCATACACACACCAACCCCATCACACACCAACACCATTACACACCCATACACACACCGACACAATCGAACACCCATACACACACCAACACAATCACACACACGGACACCCATCATACACCAACACCATCGCACACCCATACACACACCAACACCATCACACACCCATACACACACCAACACCATCACACACCCATACACACACCAACACCATCACACACAAGGACACCATCACACACCCATACACACACCAACACAATCACACACACGGACACCATTACACACCATCACACACACAGACGCCATCACACACACACACCAACACAATCACACACACAGACACCATCACACACACCAACACAATCACACCCCCAGACACCATCACACACACCAACACAATCACACACCCATACACCATCACACACACCAACACAATCACACACCCATACACCATCACACACACCAACACAATCACACACCCATACACCATCACACACACCAACACAATCACACACACCCATACACCATCACACACACCAACACAATCGCACACACCCATACACCATCACACACACCAACACAACCGCACACACCCATACACACACCAACACAACCGCATACACACACCAACACAACCGCACACACCCATACACACACCAACACAACCGCACACACCCATACACACACCAACACAACCGCACACACCCATACACACACCAACACAATCGCACACACCCATACACACCAACACAATCGCACACACCCATACACACACCAACACAATCGCACACACCCATACACACACCAACACAATCGCACACACCCATACACACCAACACAATCGCACACACCCATACACACCAACACAATCACACACACACGGACACCATCACACACCCACATACACACCAACACAATCACACACCCACATACACACCAACACAATCACACACACACCAACACCATCACACACCCACACACACACCAACACCATCACACACCCATACACACACCAACACCATCACACACCCACACCAACACCATCACACACCCACACACACACTAACACAATCACACACACGGACATCATCACACACCAACACCATCACACCAACACCATCACACACCCATACACACACCATCACACACACGGACACCATCACACACCAACAACATCACACACCAACATCACACACACGGACACCATCACACACCCATACACACCATCACACACACCAACATCACACACCAACAACATCACACACACGGACACCATCACACACACGGACACCATCACACACCCACAAACACGGACACCATCACACACACACACCCGGCACCCCATGCTGTGTGTGTGTGCTCTCACCTGCTCTCCCTCTCTCTGTGCGGGAGTCCTCCGCGCCACCCCGCAGGTACGGGCCACGCAGAATAACAATCAGCCCAGAATAACAATCAGCCCAGAATAACAATCAGCCCAGAATAACAATCAGCCCAGAATAACAATCAGCCCGGGGCTGAGGTGCCGGCCGGCCGGGCAGCAGCAGCAGTGGGCAGATGGGGGGGGAGGATGAGAGATGGGGGGGGGCAGTGAAGGAAGAGCGGCGGAGAGAGACGAGGAGGAAGAGCGGAAGGAGAAAGATGAGCGGGACAGCGAAGAGGAGGCGAAAGATGATGGTGGTGGTGGTGTGTGGGGGGTGGCGAGAAGGCGATTGGGGGGTGGGGGGCAGAGATGAAGGGGAGAGAGGGGAGAGCGATACGAGGTAGAGACCGACACGAGTGAGGGATAAAGTGGAGGAGGGGGGGGGCGAGAGACGGGAAGGGAGAGTGGAAGGAGTGCGAGGAGGAGAGTGGAGGGAGAACGCCGAGAGTGAGAGATGACGGGGAAGAGCGGGGGCAATGTGAGAGTGTACTGGGCACGGCAGTGGGTGGGATGGTGGGATGGGGGTGGTGGTGGCGCTCGCTCCACGCACGGCACAGACGCAAGCAGCGATGGAGACTTGCCCAAGCACGCCGCCGATCTCGAACAACCACAACACCCTCCGTGCGCGGGAGACCTCGCCACTGGTGAAGTGATCAAAGCGCCGAAGACGACACACAGTCACACTCCGCGCAGCCACCACCACCACCACCACAATCGGCACAAGCCAACACGAAGATAGGCCGAGAACAACAACAATAATAATAACAACAACACCACGGGGAGGCGGTGTGCGAGACCAGGCTGTGTAACAATGGAGCTGGCTGTTGTAGCGAAGCAGCTCCACCTCCTCCTGCCTCCCTCTCTATCCGCTTCTCTTGACACGGCGACTAGAGCGAGCGAGCGAGCGAGGAGAGTAGAGAGGCTTTCTACTGCTGCTGCTGCGGCTACCACTGCCGCTGAGCTAGGAAGGAGGCAGAGAGGCCGAGCGAGGCTCGAGGCGGCGGCCAACAAGGGAGCCCTCTCTGATGACTGGCAGCGCTGACGGCGGCGGCTGCTGCGGCTGCTGCTGCATCGTCCGCGCCGCGCAGGGACTTTAACGGCGACGTCACCGGCAGGAAGCGCGCTGCTCGGTAATTATGTAACCCGTTCGGGGGAGACGTCACCGCGACTCGCGGTGTTCACCGGATTGCCGAGAAGAGAATTGCCCCGGGTCAACAACTCCCACCCCATAACCCCACCCCTTTCACCCCCCCACCCACACCTTTCACCCCCCCCACCCACCCCTTTCACCCCCCCCACCCACCCCTTTCACCCCCCCCACCCACCCCTTTCACCCCCCCCACCCACCCCTTTCACCCCCCCCATCCACCCCTTTCACCCCCCCCACCCACACTTTTCACCACCCCCACCCACACCTTTCACCCCCCCCCACCCCTTTTACCCCCCCACCCCCCCCGCCCACACCTTTCACCCCCCACCCACCCCCCCACCTAACCCTTTCACCCCCCACCCAACCCTTTCACCCCCCCACACACCCCTTTCACATCCCCCCCCCACCCCTTTCACCCCCCCCACCCCATTCATCCCCCCACTCACCCCATTCACCTCCCCACCCACCCCTTTCACCTCTCCCCACCCACCCCTTTCACCCCCACCCACCTATTTCACCCCCAACCACCCCTTCACCTCCCCACCCACCTCTTTCACCCCCCACCCCATTCAAGGTTATTGGCACCGCAGACAGGAGTCTAATTTAGAGCTATGTGACAATGAGAACCCTGCAGGAAGGTCTTGAGGTTGGCTGAATGCGCCGGAGACATCCCTTACTACTCCAGGTTACTCGTTATAGTGATCAGCTACGCCGTACCAGCCATGGAACACAAGGCCAAACACACGTAAACTACCTTCATTTCCGAAACGAGTGGATAGATTGCCGGTCAGGCTGTGAAGGTCAAATTAAATTGGCAAGGTCTCCACCGTCACACAAGAGAGAGAGAGAGAGCACTTATCTTTTTCAGGGGATAAATTGGATATGAATTGGAATAATTTTGATACATTGCTCAATTCACGGCGATTGCATATCCAGGCATTACACCGCTGAACTCCGTGGACAGACCAGCAGTGGCTAGGGCACTGCTGGTGGTACACGTCGGCCGAGTGTGCGATCGTTCATGGCCCCGAAGAAAGCCGCCCCATCATCACGAGACACGGCCGTGCGCCGTCAAGACAAAAGAGCCACCACCGAACGTGGAGTGAGCGTAAGGCAAGTGGTTAAGCAGACGAGGGGATCTCAGCTGTGACGTGGCTGTAATACGTTCAGAGCAACGGGCTGTAGAGGAGCTTCGGGGGGTTGAGAAGTTGAAACAAAACAGCAGTGGAGCTGTTTAAATAACATCTGAAAATGTCCCGTTGCTGAATAAGGCGACACTGGCCATTGGTCGACTCAGCCATAAATACGTACCTGGAGCGAACATCGCCACTCGGGAGACAAAGGCGGCCGGGCGTGGTGCTGGCCACCCACACGCTGGTGTGTCGCGCCAGCCTTCATAGGTGCTCGCTAACAGCACTTGCCCCAACGGTCTGTTAAGGCTACACGGGGGATCTTTGTCTTGTGGTCCATTGACCTCCAAAAACTATCCACCCCCACCCCACCGTGACCCCCCCCCTCTCCGCCTTCTGATAACATTGATAGGGCCCCCAGACAGGGCCAATTATTCCGTGATTCCCCCACCACCCACAGCATGAACGATTAACGCCTCTCCCTAGATTATAATACAGTACTCTACTGTCCTTAAGCCTGATTGTTGTTCGCATCATACATGGCCAATGATGTCATCAACATCCCTGCCACCCCCCCCCACACCGCCTTCCCGACAGAATGAACCATGAATGTTCCCCCTGTAGGTTATAATACAGTACTGTGGTGTCCTTTACCCTGCATGTTAATGGGAAGCCTCACGAATTGTTAAGGCTCCTTTTCGGGATGTTTGTTAAATTCCATTAACGAGTGGCATCTGAGAGGATCCTACGAGAGCCTGTGGTTACGAAAGGATAACATTCAAAGCTTTGCTCAGATGGATTTAAGATTCCATTGTTGCACTAACCATTTATTGGCCACATCACAGCCCAAGACACCTGGTACTGTATTACCAGGCATTATTCCACCCTAATGCTGACCACGCTCATATTTGCTTAGTTTCTAAGATACGACGAGCTCAGACAGATTTAGGATGATGAGATTTTTTTGGGTCTGGAGTCCCTGACGGAATTACTGTATTAATGGTGGCGTCTGGATGGAAATATTTATGAGACCCTAAATGTAGCCAATGATGGGGTCCCCAGAAAGTCCAAATGATGAGCCCTCCATATTGAGCCGCAGATGAGTGCCCAAGATATTGGCAACGATGGGGGCCACAGATGTACAAAATGAAGGATATCCCCCCAAATGGAACCATTTGTGACCCCCTCCACTCTGAGATGTATCCAATAAAGGGCTCCCAGAGCTGACAATAATGAGCCTCACAGATGGCAATATTGATGGAATTCTCATATAGAGCCAATCATAGTCCTTGGATAATACAAATCCAGCATTATAATGTCAAGTACTGTGTTAATGTCCAACATAACATTACCGTATATTACAAGTGATGCCAAAGTAAATCATATAGGGCTCATCTGTGTTGGACATCCACGTTTCTATGACAGGTTCCAGTATATCCATAGGCAAACCACTGTTGAGGTGTTAACCCACCATACTACGTAGTGTGTAGGGTAACACGAAACAGTCTCTTATTACTGAAAAGATGTTGAAATACTTCATTTACGGTAATTCCGCATTTTTAAATGTATAGTTTTATTTGTATCTCATTTAAAAATGTTACATTTCAATGCATCGCTGTATACTAATACTGTTTTTCGTTTATAACACTGCAGGTATCCGTTGGAAAGACCCTAAACTGCATTCCCATTAGCCACAGAATTGTATTATGAACTCGAGATGCAAACCTGGCATCGCATCTTCGTGTATCGAGTTGGCTGTCATTTGGGCCGCCAAAATATGTTTTGAGGCCCACAGTGGGAATATGTTCGATGGAAACGAGATACGCTCTGTCTTAATAGGCTCTCACCTGTTTTGGACTCATGCGCTTAAGGGGCCGTTCATAAATGACGTCACGCGATTTTGGACTATTTTGATCCCCCCCCCTCCTCGTCACACGGCGTCACAAAAAGTCAGACCCCCCCCCCCCACCTCAAATATTACATTACAGAGCTCTGCCCCCCCCCCCCCAAATAATACGTGCTTCAAATAGCTTTAAACTATTGTCATTGTAGTGCCTATTTAAATGTGGCGCTACACTGATGTTGTATGAGAAAACATTTATTAAAAAGTGTATTTAATTAAGTAGAACGTGTTGTCTATATTTATTTAAAATTGCGCATTTTGATGTGACGTCACATTTCTCAAACCCCCCCCGCCCTCGTCACACATCGTCAAAGATGTCTGACCCCCCCCCCCCCCCCCCCAGGTGCGTGGCGTCATTTATGGACGGCCCCTAACCTTAACCAATGCGAATTCAACCCCGATGAAGCTTAGAAAGCTGGAGTTCAAAATAACTCACAAACACCTTGTTGTGAAATGCCCAATGCAGAAGATGCCTCTGATTGATCGTCCACGCAGCTCATGGTCCACCGTAAACCGCATCCGGACAAATCATGGCAGATGTGGATGCCTGATGCACAAATTGAACATAAAAACTCTCCAGTGTGCGACTGCGGTCATCCAGAACAGACCGTCCAACGTATAACGACGCAACGCCCGACCCACAAATACGAAAGGAGACATCTCAGCGATGATGATACACTCCGCTGCTCCTGAAGCAGTTGTCTGGCTTGACGAATACCAAATAAATGAAATGTTAGATTGTAATTGTTGCTCTGCATCTACATCAGCCGTACGTAAGAAGATGAAGAAGTGAAAGAAAGATAGAGATGCAACTCTGCAATTGCTTTGCTCATGCCACTGATAGTGGAAGGGCCTCCACTCTAGTGAGAACTCTAGCGAGCATCCAGGTGTAGTTGATTTTGGCACAGGTAAAACCCATTGGGCAATGCTCATTTTCGAAGTGCACCTGGTTGCAGCAAGAACAAAAAACATTAGTCACAATCCATATGTACGCTTTTATTTGTTCGAACCGTCCTTGAAGGTTGGGTCGACATTGAAACGATTAAATGAAGCACGCGGGACGAATCGCAGTTTAGAGTACTTTAGGAAAACGTAGTCGAGTCGTGAAAAGTAATACAAATGAATACGCCTCAAGGGGACATTACTGAATGAGTCTCTGGCACGTGGTGACGAAACTCCCACGGGGGTCTGCGCTACGATTGGTTAAAACCGAGCATCACGTGGCGCTTCGGAGCAGCCAATCGGACGCCTTTCGTGAGCACGGGCCTCAGCCTCGCCTCGCCTGGCCGCCCTGCTAACGTTTCCGCTCGACAATCAATAGCCCGGCAATTCATAAACATGGGAGAGAAATTCGACAACTTGGAGGAGCACCTGGAGAAGTTCATCGAAAACATTCGGCAGCTGGGAATCATCGTGAGCGATTTCCAACCGAGCGGACAAGTTGTGTTGAACCAGAAGCTGTGAGTTGTTTTTTTTCCCCGCGCGGCCTAGTCTTCCCCCCTCCCCTTAGCCTGATTCCTACCGCTTTCGAGTCTTACATCGCGGTACCTTATCCAGGCCAGACCGGTGAGCCCGGGGCATGCTCCGTGAACCATACTTTGAAGTCATTCATTCGAAACGTATATATTTATACAATATGAATAGGCTACGTTACATTTACAGACGTGCGGATGAAGACACGCATCTAATATACGTTGTTGATCTATTGCGTGTGCGACTTTAATCCGCTGCTGGATGGCAGCAGGCCACGCCTTGGGAGTCGTGATGGGTTTCCTTACCCATGCTTCATGCTACACCATGCCAGTCAGCGCGTGCTGTTGAAGGCGAGGAGCATAGAAGTGCAGTTCCTTACCCATGCTTCATGCTACACCATGCTAGTCAGCGCGTGCTGTTGAAGGCGAGGAGCATAGAAGTGCAGTTCCTTACCCATGCTTCATGCTACACCATGCTAGTCAGCGCGTGCTGTTGAAGGCGAGGAGCATAGAAGTGCAGTTCCTTACCCATGCTTCATGCTACACCATGCTAGTCAGCGCGTGCTGTTGAAGGCGAGGAGCATAGAAGTGCAGTTCCTTACCCATGCTTCATGCTACACCATGCTAGTCAGTGCGTGCTGTTGAAGGCGAGGAGCATAGAAGTGCAGTTCCTTACCCATGCTTCATGCTACACCATGCTAGGCAGTGCGTGCTGTTGAAGGCGAGGAGCATAGAAGTGCAGTTCCTTACCCATGCTTCATGCTACACCATGCTAGTCAGCGCGTGCTGTTGAAGGCGAGGAGCATAGAAGTGCAGTTCCTTACCCATGCTTCATGCTACACCATGCTAGTCAGCGCGTGCTGTTGAAGGCGAGGAGCATAGAAGTGCAGTTCCTTACCCATGCTTCATGCTATACCATGCTAGTCAGCGCGTGCTGTTGAAGGCGAGGAGCATAGAAGTGCAGTTCCTTACCCATGCTTCATGCTACACCATGCTAGTCAGTGCGTGCTGTTGAAGGCGAGGAGCATAGAAGTGCAGTTCCTTACCCATGCTTCATGCTACACCATGCTAGTCAGTGCGTGCTGTTGAAGGCGAGGAACATAGAAGTGCAGTTCCTTACCCATGCTTCATGCTACACCATGCTAGTCAGTGCGTGCTGTTGAAGGCGAGGAGCATAGAAGTGCAGTTCCTTACCCATGCTTCATGCTACACCATGCTAGTCTGTGCGTGCTGTTGAAGGCGAGGAGCATAGAAGTGCAGTTCCTTACCCATGCTTCATGCTACACCATGCTAGTCAGTGCGTGCTGTTGAAGGCGAGGAGCATAGAAGTGCAGTTCCTTACCCATGCTTCATGCTACACCATGCTAGTCAGTGCGTGCTGTTGAAGGCGAGGAGCATAGAAGTGCAGTTCCTTACCCATGCTTCATGCTACACCATGCTAGTCAGCGCGTGCTGTTGAAGGCGAGGAGCATAGAAGTGCAGTTCCTTACCCATGCTTCATGCTACACCATGCTAGTCAGTGCGTGCTGTTGAAGACGAGGAGCATAGAAGTGCAGTTCCTTACCCATGCTTCATGCTACACCATGCTAGTCAGTGCGTGCTGTTGAAGGCGAGGAGCATAGAAGTGCAGTTCCTTACCCATGCTTCATGCTACACCATGCTAGTCAGTGCGTGCTGTTGAAGGCGAGGAGCATAGAAGTGCAGTACACTTTGCAACAAGTCGCTCTTCGCTGGACCGCCCTCTTGATTCCAGATGCGCTTCAAGCCACTGGAGCTATGCACTTTTAAATTATCTAAACTGAAAACGAATCTCTTTAGAACTGCTTAATTGTGTGTTTGTTTGTACTTTCCCCGCACCTATTAGCGCGTACGTGCAATTAGACCCGCAACCTGTAACGTCTGTCATGGTATGGTGATCGCTTATGCAAGTAGCATCCAGGCTGAAGGCCCCCGCTTAGCTTCCAAATATGCCGAGATCTGACGCATTCCGAGTGATTTGGTCATAGGCTAAACGAATACAATGTACTGCATTTGTATCAGTACATCAAAATGTGAGCCGTCCAGACAAATGTTATCTAACTGCTAGATTGCTAGGGAATAGCGGCACGGCAATCTTTATATTGACCCTGTGGGGAGTTTCCAGTATTTTCCCTGTGCGTGTTTTTCCGGTACTCCCGATTTCTTCCCACATGAAGCCAGACATTAATAGAAGTGACCAACTTCCAATGTCGACCCCTCGTGGCTCTCTGTGTGTGTGTTTTTATTGGTGAATATAGGGCTTTTATAGTCAATGTATTTGACCAAGAAAATAGGACCAATTTCAACCTGAGTCGTCAAAAATCGGGCATTTAAATACTGCTGGGCTGCCTGATGTTATTGGTAAGCTCACAGAAACTGCATGGCCTCTTCAGCACAAATGGGCCTATTCAGCTGTACCGCATTGTAACAAATTAAAAAAAAAAACGTTCATCTCTGGAGGATTGTTGGTTATAAAATAGACATCCATATTAAAAAACACATTACAAAGCATTTAAATGTAACAGCATCACAAAACTGTGGAAGTTGATAGAGGCACACGGGAGAAGAATACAACTGCATTGCAACGTACATTTGGACCGTCAGTCAGAAGTAGGGGAATTCTTAAGCCTGGACCTAAAGAGGATGATAAAGCCGTCCAGGCGGCCATGTGGGACTCCAAATATTGCGGACGGCAGAAGAGAGAGCGAGTTTGACTGGGAGATTTGCAGGAAACCTTATACTGACCACGTTCATGATTAACAAACCAGTATACCTAACAGTTACGCGCAAGAGTCCTTCAGCATTAACTTGCACTTTTCTTGAACATTTGAAAGTGAAGTCTATAAAACAACCTATTTTGGAGATATTCCTCGGCAGCACAGAGGCGTGTATCTCATTAGTAGTCCACCGACTGAATACCCAAAGTACATCATTCTTTAGGGCACTTACCATTTTAAGCATTTTACATCACACTTGCGCATTTCAGCTGTTTTCAGATTTTCCTTCACGAGAAGTGTCAATGCACAAGGGTGTCTCGCACAGCATGACGTTCTGTTCACCAATGCCTTGGAAATACCCACACTGGTTTGTACAGCCGTGACTTTATTTAATGCAGGAATTTGCCAGATGTTGACACTTTCACTGCAGAATGTTTCAGCGCCTGAATTTGTATGGTCATCTGGCTAATAAGAGCAGGTTATCTTTGAATGAGTGGTAATGCAAATTTCTGGTCTGGAGCATCCAGAAATAGCTGATGGGACAAAACTGGAAAATAACAATCCTAAAAGTATATCTAAAATATATCTAAATATTGATAGTATATCTAAAATAGATACTCATTGTGCTAAATATTTCACTTGCTCATTTGTGGTGAGTTGTGGTGTGTTGATTTAGCTAGGCACCAATATCATCACGCCAATTTCTGTACAGTGATCAAGTTAAATGTATACTCTTTGGTTCTATTGGGTAAAGTCACATAGGTGACTTTACCCTAGCAGTCACGAAAGCTTTAAATCTAGAAGTTAAATGTAGTCCTGAAATTGCTTGATTATGCCTTTGCTGGAGGAAGAGCCTCCACTTCGGGGAGTGCTAGAGAGCCCCTCTGGGGAGGATATTCTGGCCTTATCTTCCACGCTGGCCAGGCATCTTAGAAATGGTGGAGGTATCCACACTTGGCCCCGCCACGCGCGTATTTGCTGATCGACTAAACATTGATGTTAGACTGCTTGGTGGACGGGTGGGCGGTCGGGGATTTAATAAGCTTGCCCATTTCAAATAGCATGCCAGGAGATCAAACCGGCGACCTCTATGTGAATCATTACACTTTGGCAGTGTCGTGATGTTAATATATTGACTGTTTGGTATATATGGGATTTGGCAGGTGATATCGCTAGAAGCCATCATGGCTGATTAACAAGGATAGTGACAGAATAGCAACCAAAATTATGAGAATGGGCCAGAGGATGACCATCAAGAAAATGGAATGATGATATCAATTAATATGCAAGAGTAATTGTAGCGTTGCAGGAACATGAGGTATGGTGATTCCCATTGGAAGGCCTTCATCCAATAGTGTCTGGATAAATGGGTCATGATAGCGATGATGGAGTTACGGGACATCTGAAAATTGTTTAATATCAACAGCCACTGGACTGCTGCAATGTAGCTTTACAGTAAAACTCATATCCTTAGGTTTTCAAACACTGATATTATTTTGTACAACATTTGAGGGTCCTTATTCGTAACATTGTTGACTGAGCTTTGTATAACAGGCCACTGCTGAGAGTCAACCAAAACCAGTCCAGAGTGTCTGTATAAACATATGCTGCTGAATAACATGTGACCAGAATCTAAATATAGTTTTGTTTTTACGTAGTTTAACGGAGCATTTTCACTTAAACAGTATAATGTATACACAAGTATATGCAGTAACGCACAAGGGTTTGTTGTAACATATAAATAATTGTTCCTGAAAGAACAAAGGTGCCTCCTCATCTCTAGCGAGCGCTTTGAACAGAGCGTGCCGTAACTGCATGTTCATTTTTACGATTTGTTTCGATTGTAAACTTTTATGGCAGCATGATAATGTCTCGTCTATAGACACATCTTAAGCCCGTTTATTCTATGTAGCTCGCCTTCCCTTAAATTATAAGTGTACATTATTAACTAGCTTTACTACCCGGCTTCGCCCGGGACTTGGATTCACGACGCCCGGCTGCCTTTATCTCCCCAGTGGTGATGTTGACACACCACACCAGTTACTCGTTTGAGGCTGAGTCGACCTAGGGGAGGCCCAGGACCGGTTCAAATAATCGTCACCGGTGGTGGCCGTGAGTGGGAATCGAACTCGGGTCGCCAGGTTCGTAGCGCAGCGCGCTAACCACTACACTACAATGCGTTACGCTTCCACACAGACACACACATACACACACACAGACACACATACACACACACAGACACACATACACACA